ACACACACACATACACACACACATACACACACACATACACACACACACACATACACACACACACAAATAACGACAAATAAAGTGGACAGGAAGAAACTTGGAGGTAATAGATATTTAAAAAAAAATTTTTTTTAAATGTTTATTTATTTTTGAGACAGAGAGCATGAACGGGGGACGGTCAGAGAGAGAGGGAGACACAGAATCTGAAACAGGCTCCAGGCTCTGAGCTGTCAGCACAGAGCCCGACGCGGGGCTCGAACTCACAGACCGTGAGATCATGACCTGAGCCGAAGTCGGACGCTTAACCGACTGAGCCACCCAGGCGCCCCGGAGGTATTAGATATTTTTATATTTTTATAACTTTGGTTTTTAACTCACAACGTAAGGATATGGCAGGTGGTAAGACCATGTTTCACTATTAACTTTTTTTAAATATTTATTTTTGAGAGAGAGAGAGAGTGCAAGTGGGGGAGGGGCAGAGAGAGGGGGGACAGAGGATCTGAAGCGGGCTCTGCGCTGACAGCAGAGAGTGTGACACAAGGCTCGAACTCATGAGCGCCAAGATCATGACCTGAGCCGAATTTGGACGCTCAACCAACTGAGCCACCCAGACACCCTCAAAAGACCATTTCTAAGGGATAATCTAAGGAGTATGCAATTATGTCTTCATTTTGTGAGTGTCCTATGTCTCTTTCTAAAAAATGTTATAGGGGCACCTGGCTGGCTCAGGCAGTAGAGCATGAGACTCTTGGCCTTGGGGTTGTGAGTTCAAGCCCACATTGGGGGTAGAGATAAAAAATTTTTTTTTAATTTTAAAAATTAAAAAAAAAATGTGGTTTGAGACTAAGAAATAATTGACTTTGCTGAAGAATTCCTATATCTCCTGCTGTGTTGGAACAGCAGGACTTACCTGTTCCTAACAGCTTCCTCCAAATGGGCTCTTCCCGTAATTGACATTTGTGACATGGGGAGGTTCTGGTCTGTGTCAGTCCCCTCTTCCCTCCAGAAGCATTTACTGGCTACATTTCTTCTTCTTTGCTGTGGCCTTCTCCACCTCCTCTCACCCCTCCTCCTCCTTCCTTTAAAAAAACTTTATTAAGTTTTAACATTTTATTTCCAGTGTAATTAACATACAGTGTTATATTAGTTTCAGGGCTACACTGAAGTCATTCAACAATTCTATACGTTACTCAGTGCTCATCAGGCTAAGTGTACTGGCTGCATTTCTTCTTGATGTTTGACTAGGGATTTCTCTTTTTGTGGGCAAAGATCATCAGAATATGGTGTATACACCATGTGGGGAAGATAGAAATGTGAAGACAGCACTTGGATGAAATTGGTGATGTGTGTGTTACTTGGAGAAACAAACAGGTGATGGTTGTCTAAGCATCACCTGGAAAGAGGAGAGAGGTAAGATCACTAATTGACCCTAAAGAGAGATTTTTTTTCTTTAACTTCAAAATCCTGAATTTTATACGTAGGTTGATTTGCTCTTGGGTGATAGCTCATTAATAGGTAAATAAGAACACCACATCTTAAGCTGTATATGGCCTTTCCCAAGAAATACTATCATGGAAGCCAATTATCGGTTAGCTTCCTATTTAAATTTATTTTTAATCAAGTCTACTACTGAGGGACTAGGTAAAAAGCCTTGAATATTTCAGGTTACTAGAGTTTATAATAACTGTTGATTCTTTCTGGTGTGACATTAAGAAAGTTAGTGCAGTTAGATCTCCTATATCTTTTTTCTTTCCATCCAATACAATTTGTTTTTTTCTCCCTTGTCATACTTTTGTACCTGTATGTTGAGACATAAGCCACTGTGGGGCTACATAACAAATGCCAAACATGTAATTTCTTTTGCTCCAAAATGGGGATGAGAAGAGTCTGGTTCTTGTAGGGGGAGAGCGTATTTACATTTATTTCTGTGGCAGAATTTATTAGGATTGGCCATACTCTCTTGAAATGGTAAGAACTTTAGGATTTTCCTTCTCTTTAATTAGAACATGAAATTTCTTGATGTGCTATAAACTATAGATTACTTTCACAATTATTTTACCTCTTCTAAAGGTAATCTGAATAAAAACAAGTAGAAGGGTTTCAGTTATAATTTTTATTTTTCAGTGTAGGAAAATCCTATTGTCTCGCCATATTTAGAGACAGATTTTACTCTGCACAGTTTCGGTGACCTTCGATAGTTGTAGTCATGGGCTGTTTGTCTCTTTATCTCTTTGTCTCGGGTTTCCTCTCTCCCTACCCCTTCTAACTTCTTTCTTTCCCCGTTCCATCCTTCCACATAATATCCAGTCTCTGGTGTAAGGGGCCAGGACTGGGCTTGGTCTCAGAAGATGGAGGTTCGAATTTTGCTCTGCTCTATACAAGCTCTGAGAACCCAGGCAGATTATTTAACTCCTCTTCAGAAGAAGTTATGATTGCTTAGCATCTCTATAAGATGAAGGAAATAATCATCATGGTTGCAAAAGAGTAAATGCAAGGACATATGTGACAGAACACAATTAGCACTGATCCCCCCTTCAAGAAAGTTGATTGGTATGAAACCTATAGAACGTAAAGTGTACCATTTCAGTTGTTGTAAGTGTGTAATTCGGTGGCATGAAGTACACCCACAGTGTTGTGTAACTATCACGTTCTCCATTTCCAGAACTTTGCCATCATTCCCAACAGAAACTTTGTACCCATTAAATGGTAACTCTGTATTTCCCCCTCTCCCAACCCCACCTTTCTACTCTCTGTCTCTCCGCATATGATGGCTCTAGATACCTCCTATTGATGGAATCATACGATGTTTGCCCTTTCGTGTCTGGCTTATTTCACTGAGCATAATGACTTTAAGGTTCATCCTCCTATTCCCTTTTAAAGGTGAATAATATTCCATTGAATGTTCATATCACATTTTGTTTATCCCTTCATCTCTTGATGGGCATTTAGAGTGTTTCCACTTTTTGGCTAATTGTGAATAATGGTGCTGTGAGCATTGGTGTGCCAAGTATCGGTTTCCATCCTGGTTTCAATTCTTTTGGGTGTATGCTGAGAAGCAGAATTGTTGGATCTCATGGTAATTCTTTGTGTAATTTTTTGAGTGGGGCATCCTATTTTCAAGTTGTTGTTGTTTTTTTTAATCTGTTGGATTATAGTATGCAACTCCTAAATGGCGTGTTTATTCCTTGTGGTCTTTTCGTTCCCATAATTTACATTATATGAGTCAGTATGGTGAGGTCACCTTCAATTTCTCCAGGAGCACCTTGCCAAGGTGGCAAGCTCTATAGGCCATGGCTCTCAGAAATGCCTTTGATGTATGCCTAGATATCCCGGAAAGTGAAGGTTTGCTCTGTTGGTGCCCAAATGTGTTGGTTAAACAACAGTTGTATTAATGAATGCAATGTTTTCTGCTTTGGACCTTCCTGTAGGGGTTGAGGAGACTGAAGAAGGCTGATGGGCTGATGGGCTCAGCTGGTAGGTTCCACTGTCTCACCATGACCACCGAAAATCCGACGCCGGGAGACCTGGCTCCGTCCCCCCTCGTCACTTGCAAACTCTGCCTGTGTGAACAGTCCCTGGACAAGATGACCACACTCCAGGAATGCCAGTGCCTCTTCTGCACAGATGTAAGTTCTCCTTGAAGCTTTCATCACGAGCGTGAGAAAATACAACGGGGAGAACTGTCAAAGCCCAGGATAGATTTCGGTGGCTTTCTCAGAAACCAGGGTTTGCTACAACAGCCTTCTGTTTTGGAGATTAATTCCATGTTTGGGTCTGTTTCCAAATAGTGTCTGGAATGGTAAATCCCGTATTTACTGTTTTTTAGGCAAAGCATAATGTATACGTGATCTTTAATTACTGGTTGAATAAGAGGATCTGTTCTTAAAGTGCTAGGTAAGAAACAAAATAGAAATATTTTTCACACATTTTAGTTAACTCCCATCTGTAAGGAGCTCATCCAGTGTTGGATAATAGACCAGGTGGCTGTTAACTGAATTTTCTTTCATATACTCTCTCGTCTCTTACAAAGCACATGATACATAACTCTTTTACTTTGTGCTTATCTCCCCCCCCTTTTTTTTTTCTGTCTTCACAATATGCTGAATGGTACTTATTCCTCATAATAAAGAGAGTATGTAGATAGATCTCCAGGAGTGGGCCTTCGTCTTTTAGTGTGACACTTGGTATCAATGGTCATGACCTTGATGGTGCATTTCCCTGGAGTCTGGTTGATTAAGGTGTGAAGATAGGAAACAGACTGTTGAATTCAAGGTGGCTACTGCAAGTGTGAACCCAGTGGTCCTATTCAGATTTTCATTTATTCAAATATCTTTTGAGCTCCTACCGTGTGCCAGGCACTCTGCTGGTTGTTGTCCCATAGGGAAGATGGACTCATTGAAGGAACTGTCCAAGTTTGGCAAGGTCAAGGGTAGCTAGATGTAGTATACCAGCAGACTGTCTCGCCTGCTTGGGGATGGGAGGGGGCATCCTGGTGGCAGTGATCTCTGAACTGAGGCTTTAAACAAGAGTTGTAAATTGACGCTCATGGGTCATGTCTGGGCTCAACACATTTTTATTTGGATCCCCAATTGGGAAATTTCATGAAAAAATGAAAAAGTGGTAAGATCTAGCTACTCCATCCAGGCCTGTATTTGTAGGCCCCAAAGAGACGATCTTTCCTCTGTTTATATTACCTTCCTGTCTCCTGTATGTATTTGAATCAACTACTCTTTTTTTTTTTTTCTCCAACGTTTATTTATTTTTTTGGGGACAGACAGACAGAGCATGAACGGGGGAGGGGCAGAGAGAGAGGGAGACACAGAATCGGAAACAGGCTCCAGGTTCTGAGCCATCAGCCCAGAGCCCGACGCGGGGCTCGAACTCACGGACCGCGAGATCGTGACCTGGCTGAAGTCGGACGCTTAACCGACTGCGCCACCCAGGCGCCCCTTGGATCAACTACTCTTAAAAAAATTTTTTTTTCATGTTTGTTTATTTTTGAGACAGAGAGAGACAGAGCATGAACAGGGGAGGGGCAGAGAGAGAAGGAGACACAGAATCCAAAGCAGGTTCCAGGCTCTGAGCTGTCAGCACAGAGCCTGATGCGGGGCTCAAACTCACGGACCACGGGATCATGACCTGAGCCAAAGTCGGAAGCTCATCCAACTGAGCCACCCAGGCGCCCCATGAGTCAACTACTCTCTTAAACCGAGGATGAATTAAGAGTCATGCGGGATGCAGACTGGCATCTCAGCATGGCAGAGGCCTGATGTCCAAGTTATAATATTTACCTTTTATCTGTGCTTTGGTAGGGCCTCATCTGGGCAGACTGTTATTATTTATTAGACAAAAAGTGTAATAATCACCAGACAAATCTAGGTTTCATGCCCTGACTAGAGAAGGAAATTGAATAGTTCAGGTATAGTGACCAGTGCTTAAATCAAGGGAAGCAAGGACAGAGGAATCATTAAGGATGTAGAGTCATTTATAAAGCGGTGTATTTACTAAGCATACTTTTTTTAAAAAATAGATTAACAATTTAAGGTGAAATAAATTTTGCTCTTTCTTGTTAATTTCATCAAAATGTCATGTTCTCAAGCCCATTTATATTGATTAAAAAACTTTTTTTGATTGAGGATTAGGGTAGGGAGAAGCCTTGGAATGATTTTTGGGTAAAAAGGAAAGTGACTAGGGATGCCCAGGTGGCTCAGTCGGTTGAATGTCTGACTCTTGATTTTGGCTCAGGTCATTATCCCAGGGTGGTGGGATCCAGCCCCATGTCAGGCTCTGTGCTGGGCCTGGAGCCTGCTTAGGATTCCCCCCCTCCCCCCTCCCCTCCCCCCCCCCCCCCCCAATGAAAATGAAAAATAAATAAAAAAGGAAAGTGACTATAATCCTTTCCTTAAGTTTTGAACTCTGGGATCCAAAGATGACGAGTGTCCCAGGATCTGTGCCAGTCACTGGGATTTATCAGTTTGAGAAACAAAGCCAGCAGAGGTCCTCGCTTTTAGGGGCTTATATGCTATCAAAGGCAGTTGCATAATAAACAATAAACATAATAACTGGGTGAGTTACAGAGGATTGGGCAACAGGGCTTAGAGAAAAGGCAGAGCAGGGCCAGGAGGGTGGAGTGCAGGTGGGGGCTGTTGCAGGTGTAGCAGGCTGTGAAGAGGACGCCTCGTTCAGTGACGTCTGTGCTTGGTCCTTCCTCATGTTATCAGTGTGTGTTGCTTAAGGAAGTGACCTTGTTGTTGAGGGGCAGCTTCGGTTTCCTTTGGTCTTGCTTTGCTGCTGAATGCTGTGCTTCTGAAAGGATTCTTTCTGACCTTCTCACATAATTTTTGGACCCTTGCTAATCTTTGAAACAAAGGAGTCAGAAGCAGCGTTTGGTTAAAGGCAGGAGGGAAATTTTTGTCTGGGAGTTAGTGATGTTTGAAAAGCAGGATACGGAGTTCAGGTTTTGCCATGAGACCTAATAGTTCAGGATTCAAGTTTGTGCTTGTCAGCGCTGGGTAGAGGGTCCACAGGCAGAGGTGGTACCTCATACTGACAAGGAGTGCACGCTGTCACAAGGATTGGTGCACGAGATCTCAGTTCCCAGTTAAAAACAACACAACGGCTTCTCGGTTCCCCTTTGGCAATTTGAGGGTAGGAGTTAGGACAATGAGAGTATTCTGTCATCTATGATCAGACTTCCTCATTGTTGGGGAGTACTCCAAACCAGAAAGTCAAATGGCTTGGTAGTTTTTATATCTCTCTGATGCTGGAACTTTTAAAAAACTATTAAAAAATGTGTCCAATCCCGCACATTTTAATTTGCACTCCAGTATAGATATTCAATGTTAATAGTAAAGGTATCAGATGTGTTTTGCGTTTTCAAGGCTGCAGAGAAATATGTGACACATTTGAATCAGCCATATACTACTAATTTCTGACTTTAAATATGATTGCATGACATCTTCTAAGTATTGGCTGGGAAAGACTTCTCGCGCATACCGTGTCTTTGAGATGGTGTTGCTAAGATCCTTCTCCCTCCCTTCCTCATTATGAGAGGGGTCAAATGGAATGGTCCCCCTGCTGGATGCGGTACTGGTATACTTTCATAATTTAATAAAGCTTTTTATACATTCTGTCCTTAAGAATGTATAAGTACATTCTTGTTTTCCCTAAGAAGTATCCCTGACCACGTTGCTGTGAGCTTAAATTCTCTCTGTTCCCAAGATCAGTGTGCTCTGGGAGAGCAGTGTGGATAGATGTGGGGTGTCTGACCTGACCATTGGACGTGAGCCAGGTCATTCCCTATCTTTAGGGAGATCGGGCCTTCCGATAGGTGCCCCCAACCCACGTGCGTTCTGTGGACCTCTAGTGCTGTGAAACAGAGGTGATCCTTGACTAAACTGTCCCATGGTCCGATTAGCTCAGAAACTGGTATGTTCTCCATTCCTTTCTCGGAAGGATCATAATGCATTCTAGAGGCTCTGTGAAATCTTGTGGTTAAAAGAAAAGCAAGGGGACCATGTTTAACTTCTCCTGAGGAAGCATCCCCACCTTTTTAGGGGACTACCCATTAACTTCCCCACAACTCCGGCTCTGGAGAACACTGCTTCAAATTATTCCCTGTAGGTAATTCTTGATTTAAATGACATCCAGAGAAAGGAATGTGATGGACTTTGCTTCAAATAATCCATGAGTATAGCTCGTTTCTTGTTGAAGGAAACTTAACGTGTTCTATTTCTGATGACAGTTTCTGTTAGACTCTTTGCTCAGCTGTAATATACAGAAGAAAGTGTGGCATAAAGCAAGGAGCAAGGAAGCTAAATATATAGGACAGAGATGGGCCTAGCTCTCATTAGCATGGCTGAACTCACAGACCATTACGTGCATTGTGGAGTCAAGAAGTTGATATTGTGGGGTTATGGAGCGAGGTGTTGCAAAATTACTTGCTCTTGTACTTGAAGGTTAAATATCCCAGGGATGTTCGTCTACTAACTAATGATATGCAAAAACTCTCTCTTTCTCTCTCCTGTGGATTTAAATAACTCAAACATGAAAATTCAAAATTTCCTTTTCTGGCATTTGCAACATACTCCTCCAGATAATGATACCACACAGTTATAATTCAAGTGGAAGAAAAAAAATTCACAAAAGTCCATTATCAAAGGAGGGAAAATTTGTGGGTTTGCTCCCCTGTGAGCAATTTTTGCCTCTCTGATTTATTCTGGAAGCTATTTCTGTCAGCCACGAATTAGAGCATAATGGAGACACAGTTGTTGCTTGTTTTTATAACCTAGATAATTTCACCTGAAAAGAGTCGGTATGTTGGGCATGGCCTATTTACCTTTCAGATTAAAGACAGGATGTGCTGAGCAAAAAGAAAATAACGTCCAGCCGTATTCTTGACTTTTTTCCATTACATTTTGTTGGCTCTAAGTAGTTAGAACTCCTTTTACTATTCATTTCTCTGAGCCAAATGGATTTTCCAATGTTTAAAAAAGTGAGAGGAAATATAAAACTTTTTAGACCAAGCCCTTCTTTTCCTTGGGGCCTGTTGAGTGACCTTTAAGAAAAGCCCACATATGGCCTTGGAGACATTTACAGTTTGGAAAGATTTGCAGTGCGTGCGTGC